AAAAAAAAACACCTCCCACCCTTGCCGGGGAAAAAGGCTATTTTCCGATTTTTGGCGTGGCATGGAAGTGGTCAGCGATCATGCGCGCCACGCAGAGGGTGATGCCCTTTGCGAACGGAACGTGGAGGAACTCGTTTGGCCCGTGGGCATTGCTCATCGGCCCAAGGACCCCAGTGATGATAAATTGCGCAGCTGGGAACTTTTTGAGCAGCATTGCGATGAAGGGAATGGAACCGCCCATTCCCTGCGAAGCGAATGGCTTGCCAAATGCGGTTTGGCTTCCCTCCGCGAGGGCGGTGGCGAGCCAGGGCTTCAGCTCCGGCGTCGCACAGCCGAAACCGGCGATGTCTGGTTCAAAGCAAACTTTCGCACCATACGGTGGATTGGCTGTGAGAATTTTTTTCATGGCTTCAGTGGCAACGTTAGCGTCCGCCAGGGGAGGAAGGCGGAGCGAAAGCCGCAAAGTCGTCTTTGCGCGGATGACATTGCCTGCTGTCGCTGTAGGTGGCAGGTTGGCGCCCGTTACTGTAAGACACGGTTTCCACGAATTGCGCAGCGCGAGCTCAGCATTGTCACCAGGTTCAGATGACACTCCAGGGAGCAGCGGATACTGTTCCTTAAATTGAACCTCATTCATGGTCTTCATGCTCTTGATCACCGTTTCAGGAATTGTACAGTGTGCTTCTGGAATCTTCACCTCTCCAGTAGAAGCGTCTTCAATACGGTCCAGGAGAATACGTGCAATACGGAAGGTGTCTGGAATCACACCGCCGGAAATCCCACTGTGCATACCTTCACGCATCGTTTCCACAGTGAGCACGCCACCAGATACTCCTCGCAACGCTGTCGTCAACCAAAGTTGATCGTAGTTCATAGCTCCGCTGTCAAGACAGATAAGCATATCCACATTGCCAATTTGGCTCTTGAAACGGTCAAGGTAGTACGACAAATCGGTACTCCCAGACTCTTCGCATGCCTCAATGATAGTGACAATGTGTCCGTGTGGCAGACCCTGTTTTTGTACCGCCGCTACAGCAGTAAGCGCTGAAAATATAGCATAACCATCATCTGCAGTGCCTCGGCCGTAAAGTTTCCCATCGCGGTACACAGGCTTGTAAGGATGAAGACCTTCTGCCCACGGAAGAAGGGGTGGCTGCTTGTCCATATGGCCGTACATTAGAAGAGTATTGGCAGTGGGTTCTGTTCCTTCAATTTCCACAAAAAGAAAAGGTGTGCGACCCTTCTCCTCAACAAGTTCATACTTGAGACCTTTGATGGGTTGCGCCTTTGCCCATTCAACGAGGACGTTCATGGCTTTTTCCATAAGACCATTGGTAGCCCACTCCTTGTCGTAATTGGGACTCTGGTTTGGAATCTCAGTGTATGCCGAGAGAGTCGGAACCACCGACTTGTCCCACTCTTCCGAGATAGATTTTTGCACGGTAGTCCAATCAACAGACATTGTGTATCGCGTGTTGCAGTACTCTTTTTACTTTTCCTTTTAATAAATAAATATATATATATATTTTTTAAAAGATGTGTGTCGCTAGCCAAGATATTGGGTATTGGAAACTCAATCTTTTTTCCCCCAAGAAACGAAATCAGCAACAAATGAATAAGTTAAAAAAAAATGAGGAAGAATAATGATGCCCTTTGAAAGCACAGACAGTAAAACGCACAGCAAAGAAACAGAACAAAAGAAGCGACTCGCGCACCGTTACCTCACGTTTGAATCGGGCTTCTTTCCTTTTATACCGGGTCTCAAACTCACATGCATACAGACAAAGAAAAAAGAAAGAAGCTTTTACTTAGCTTCCTCCCTCATTTCATCGGCGCCTATCCATAAGGTTGCCATCTGCCACAACATCACCATCAGAAAGGGCAGCTGACGCCTTTTCAATCGTACCGTTCTCCTCGCCTTCCGAACGGCGATGAGCATCAACAAGGCGGAGTTCGCTAGGAACTCTCGATGAGGAGGCAGTGTGGTCTTCTATCACCATGAGTTCCCGAAAAAATGCCATACTATATGCATGTGCAGGTAAACAAAAGTTAAGAGCAAGACACTTGGTACCGTTTTGCGCCATATCCGACGCGGTAAGTGACACCGCACCAGCCGGTAATCGTTCTGCAAGCCGATAGCCATACTTGCCAACAGGCCACACACCACGGCGTTGACCACGCGAAGTCGCTGTATAGCTTGTCCGCTGCCGCAGTTCCATATCTGTAAGCAATTTATAGAATGCATCTTCACTCTCCCCACCAACCACTCCGCATGGCTCTGGTAAGGCCTTCACCCATGGACGGGCTGCGCGGGGGTAACCGCTGCCCGTCACGAACAGGGGAAGACACCGCACCTCCTCGCACCACAGGTGATTCTCAAATTTACCAGAGGAAGACTGAAACCCCAGGAGGAGTGCAAGCTGCTCCATGACTTCATTTCCCCTTACATTAAAGGGAATAACAATGTCACGAAGCGAATACCGCGCCGCCTCCTCTCTTGTGAAGATGGCCGCCATGCCCTGGAGGCCCTCCATGCCCCTGCCCCTCCCACTTCCCCTAACATCATCATGATTCTTTACAATAGATGTTGTGTTCACATCGGTGAAACCGGTTTCAAGAAAAAGCTCCGGCTTCGCCACCATTCCACTGGGAAGGATGTTGTTACTATCACTTTCCATCGCAAAGTCCCCAGGCTCAGGGGAGCCCTCAACCAGCACATTTTCTCCCAGCTCACGGATGCGACAGCTGGCGAGAACATTCCACACTAAAGCAGCTTTGCTTGTTGCTATTTGTGCCCTCAATCCACACGGAACGTGGAGGTGATACCACTCCCGCAGAATGGCAGGGCGGTCTTCACCTCGGCGAAGTAGCCCCACCAACTGTCCCACCCAACTATCTGCCATCATAGCTGTTGCGGTGTCACTCAAACTTGCTGCAATCACAAGCGCCTCCGCCGGCATGTTACGTTCCCACGCCGCCATCGCGTGGTATGTGCGAAACGGACACTGCGGAGGCATTGGCCCAAAATGGCGGGGTCCAAAGTAATTCGGGAACGCCGCGAGCTTCGCTAGCACCTTCCCCTCCAAACGGCTCTGATTGGTGGTGGTGCCAGCGGTGATGCCTCTCACCAGCATGCTGTACTGCATCCTGCATCTATAGCTATTGAAGGGGTTGCACGGGAAGGATCGCCAATGCAACACCTGCACGCTAAGCCGGAGAGGCTTCAAGTTCACCTGCAGCAAATTCCCCAATACGGCCGCTCGTTGCTCCTTGGGCGGCAAATCGGCAGGGAATGATACGCGGAGACTGCACAGCTGCACCGTGACAGCAGACTCTTCCAGTGCAACATTCACTGCGAAATCCTCTACCTGACATGTCACCCCACAAGCTCCACCCAACAAAGTGAATGCTTCACGAAGCGACAATCCTTCCTTGTAAAGCACAAAATGTAAATACTGCTGATCTACTCTCGCTGATTCACAACAACGACTAACAGCGGCTGAATTCGGCAATGTTGGATCCGTAAATGAGACTATCTTCCCGTTGGGGAGCACTTCAGCCACCTGAACGTCACTGGTATGTAGCCGGAAGCCACGCAGCCGCCATGACCGGTGACCATCTTTACCTTGACACAACTTTGCCGCAATGCCTGCTTCCAGTTCCACCTCCTGCATCATAGGAGGTGTTGGCTGCGACTCCCGTAGTGCAGCAAGCATTTTGTAGAGGTCACCACCATCTCGAATAGCATGCAGCAAGTGTCGGGCACGCTGTAACGCCCCCTCAATATCAACTGCGCCGGCTACACGCTGAACTATAGTGGAGTCCAATGTCGGATTGTATTGAAGCAATAGGTCTCGTGTGGAGATGTGTGACCCTCCACTGGGTACCTCTGTCATTGATTCTACTGGATTTGCAGCACAAACGGCCGGTGGAGATGCCACATGCATTTGCTGAAGAAATGAGCGCAGCGTGCACGATAAGTCTGGGAACTCTGCCGGTGAACTCCACGGCACAGCTTCTGGTGATGGTGATGCCGATCGGGATAATGGCAACGGGGATGAGGAGGGCAACATCCGCGCATGAATGCTCTTGACAACAGGCGAAACAAACACTGATGGACCAGACATTGCCGTTGCCGCGGGCCGAAGTGGAGGAGCGCGCCGCACCCGCATCCGTCGCATCACAGCCGCCATGGCGCCCTGCACACCAGGCTGCCGTGATGACATATTCTCTCGACCTTAAAACGGTAATAGAGACAAATATACCCCCCCTCCCCCCAAGAAAACAACAACAACAACATACAAAACAGAATGGATAAAAAAAAAGCGCTACAAAGCCATGACGAGAAGCCTAAGATATATAAGAAACAAATGTGCATACATGTAGGTGCCCGAAAACTCATGCACTTCAGGTACTACTATGTATGGCACACAAGCGGGCACTGTGTGTACCATGAAGAACAGTGCAAATATCATAATGACAGTGTTTCTTACCAGTGCAAATAGGTCTTGCCACTCATCTTCAGAACAAAAAAAACAGGACTCCTACACTGCAAGGAGTCTCTGTATTGGATGAAAGGAGAATCTTCTTCCTACTATTGTTAAACCTTCAACCTTTGCATGTATTTTCATTCTCATTTCTTTGCACAATTATATATATATACTCTGCCTACATACTTTTCTTGCCTCGTATACTGGAAGCGGCCACCAATTTCTTGTGGTCGCCGTTCAACCAGGCGAAGCGCACGATGAGTTCAGACAAGAACTGAAAATCAATTATCTTGTTCACCACTCTAAACAGAGCAGACGTTAAACCCTGATCCCACACCGTTATTCGTCCTGCCGCAGCAAAAATCTGATCTGCAATATTCATCGGCAAGCACGCCACCTTCTGTGCTGACTTGAGCGAGTCTAGCGCCGGACCCTGGTTCTTGTAGAAGTTTGTGTTCACTGGCGACGGGTGCATAACCACAACATCAATGCCGGCATCATGCACTTCCGCCGCCAGTGTGGTGGCGAAGTTCGTCAAGAAGGCCTTGGTCGGGCTGTACAGCGTTGCTGTTGGCCCGGGAAGATAACCGGCGGAGGAAGACGTAAACGTGACAAGGCCACGACGCCGCCTCTCCATCATCTTGCGGAGGAAGTGGTGCGTGATTGGGACAGCACAGCCGGCGTTGCACTCCATATTGGCTCGCAGCCGTTCTATCCCCGTTTCGGCGAAGAGCCCCGTGCTGATGTACCCGGCGTTGTTGAAGAGAAGGCTGACATCAAGGTCCTTCGTCACGTCTATGATGGGCGACATGTAACGCATGCTCTCCTCGCCCAGGTTGACCCCAACTTTGCGGAAGCTGCGCTGCGGGTAGCGCTTTTGCAACTCGGTAAAAGTGTTGTTTAGCAGGGGGTCATCCAGCGCGATCAGAACGACATTGATCTCTTGCTGAGCGAGCTTCTCTGCGATAGCTTTACCAATGCCACTGCTGGCACCTGTTACAACTCCCCACTCCGCGCCGTATTTGGATTTTAGATTCTGCGGAAATCGCATAGCCAAGTTCTGTACCGCAACCCCCACAAGGTACGTCATCAGACTGATAAGCCCCATTATCACAGAGGCGTACCACAGGCTTGTCCACACCGCATCATCAAGGTAAAACATGAATGCCGGTAAATTTATCCTTTCGGTATATATATATATATATATATATATACGACCTTATAATTTTAGGTTCCCTTCCTCTTATGTGCGAGAAGAAAGGGGAGAGGGAAGGAGAGTTACCAGACAGGGAAGCAAAAACAAGACCCCCAAATTTGAATCAACAAAAGAAGCGGCGGTGCTTCAAGAGAACGGCAGTTCAGAGCTATATGTGTGTGCGGCTGTTATCACCCACCCCGAAGGGCGTGACATCGCCCCACCCACGCCAATATCTAGCAAAGAGCAAACGACAACTAACAGTCATCGGGAAACAGATCACCAACGAAAAAACTAAAACGAAAAAAAAACACATAATCGCAACAACACAAAAACAACACAGCAGCATCACCCCCGCACTTGCCGGGGGTTTCATCCTATACTTCACAAAACTCTCGCAAAGCGTGCGCATCCCACTCTGTACCTCTACAGTTCCTCCCTTGGGAAGTAAAAACTGCGCGTCACCATCATACCCTCCGCTACCGCTGACAAATCCACATGAATGTTAAGCATTCGAGCCTTCATCGCCACTCCTGTCAATGAAACGTCGCGTTGAATGAGATGGGCCACACATGAAGCCTTTTTCGCGATGGGGCGAAGTACCACGTTGTAAAGCGTCCTACTATAGGTCTGCTGCTCACTAAGATCATTCTCTAGACCATCATCAGGAACCGAGAGACGCGATTTGGGACCTATGCTACCTATATAGTCTTTCCACGCTCGCACAAGTTTACTGCCAACCACTGTTTCTGATGTGTTAGCGGCCGCGGTGACCTGACGACCCGAAATACCCGAAGCTGGGATGTGAAAGAGGTGAAGGGTTCCTGTGTCTGAAATACAGGTGGCCACGGTATCTGTCGATGTCACGATGAGCGACAGCGTGTGCACCGTGTTGGGCGTCGTGCCCCGGGAGAACTGACAGAGGACGACACCCTTTTCCACATCCAGCAGTTTCAGTGATGTGCCGCGTTCACTCACTGTGAGCGCGCGTACACCATCGGGAGTGATCGCGATGCACTGCACTTCATTGTGATGGAGCTCCACGGTCTTTTCCATGAGCGGCTGTATGGGCGCCTCATCCATGATACCCACAAGAGAGTGTGGCATCACGTTCGGCTTGATGCGCTGCTCGCTTACGTAGCGAATACAGCGCACCGTACCAGGAGTTGGCCCGAGAATTACTCCATGAAGCAGTGAGAAACACATGCCACTCGCTAGCTGCTCCACCAGCATGGTAGCCAACGCCATTGTATCGGCAGCCCGGCGCGTCTGCCTCGCCTTATGAGAGACACGGAACGACTCAATCTTGCGCAGCTGGTGGTCAAAAAAGTGCACACAGCCACTCTTCTCACCGATCACCACGAGACGGGGGTGAAAGCGCAGCGCCTCCACCGGAGATGACAGTGTCACACGCGCCGGCACTGACAACTCCTCCCCCCGCGCGTCCCTCACGGTGAGATCCAGCAGCGTCACAGTTGCACAGTGACTTACTGACCAACCGGCCACCACCAACACATTGCTTTGCCCATGTAGTGCAATGATGCCAACGCCACCCAAAACGGGCCGCCGAAGAACCTCGCAGAGCCATCCCTCATCAGCCAGCAGTAACTCGGTGCTGTAGATGATAAAACCATGCGGCATGCCAACCGCCAGGTTGGTGCCTTCGTTATTCCACGCAAGGCACGTCACAAGCTGCCCTTGATGATCCTCGCTCATCTTACTCCACCTTCGTATGCCCGCACCTCCGCCGTCACTACCACTACAAAAATATGCCTCACAAGCGATTCAACAGAAATAAATGGAGAGAGCAAAAAAAAAAAAAGGATACACCATCCAACGCACACCCTCCGCCTCACATCTACACACCAAACCAATACATAAATTTACAGCTATCCCTGCACACTGCAGGGAGCTGGAGAGTTCATTCTTTCCTTCCCTTTTACCTCAGGGAATGAGGATATGCCGCAGATTTTCCTCTCGCGCGGACATACGCCGCACTAGTTTCTCACAACTCTTCACCGCCCGCTTGTGCAGCGACGCATTCGTTGATGCAACGCCGCGACGCCGCCTTTCCTTCACGCACGCCGATTGCTCCTTGAGACAGCCGCCCGCTGCGGCGCCAAGTTTCCGCAACGCCGTTTGTTGTGCCTGCGGCGCCAGCAGAGTCAGCGGCGCCCCCCTCGTGGAAAGCGAAAGGTAGTGCGCAAGGTAGGCTGTGCGCACCGTCTCGTGCTCGCATACCTGTGCCAGCGAGAAGAGGCTCCGCACGGGTTCTGGCAGGCTTTGCCGCACCCGCGACAGCTGCATGATGGCGTCAAACTCATTCACAGGGCTCCAGACAGCAAACTCCACGTGAGCCCTACGGTCACTGCTTGTCTGCAGATCCATAAGATGGTTTATTAAATACAGAACCGATAGACGGGCAGTACGCTCCTGAAGAGAGAGCAGTGACTGTTGCTGCTCACGGTTCACAGCGCTTTGCGGGTTTGGATGTGCCTCGCACCTCAACTGAAACAACGCCGTAAATGGCAGCAACACGACGTCCTTCACTGTTGATATCTCCTCCTCGTGCTTCTGCTTCTGCTCCCTGGTGTCTTCCTTCTCCGCCGTATTAGGGGCGGCCCCTCCTTCTCGCACTGCCTCTGTCCACGACGAGATGGCACGGCTAGATAGGAGCGTCTCCACGAGGAAAGGTGTAGTCACTAGCTCCCGTCCACGAATTCCTTGTGAGGGATTAAGCCACGCCGCCACGGTGTTTTCCTGCCACCACCCAGCAGCCGCAGAGGTGCCGCTGCTTATTCCATCCTTGGGAAGAACAACGTCTGCCCAGCTCTGCGAGACGACACTGCTCAGAAGGGCCACATCCACGGCCAGTCTCGCCGCATTCAAGTCGGCGCTATTCGGCTGCAACTTGCCGTCTCCACGTGCGGCACGTAATGCTGCAACGTAGAGGCCAAACCACTCACTGTACGGCACTGCAGTGACGCTGCGGTGGGGCACAGCCGCCACCCTTTCAAAGAGCCGCGAAAAAATATTGGCTCGCATGTGAGGGGGGCCCGTGCTCTCTCTCTCTCTCTCTCCCTCCCTCTTTCTTTGATTGGTTTTATGTTGCGCACACAAATAAGCAGATACAATGGGAACAAGAGATAAAGTTATCACCCGTTTATATAATCCAGGCACATATAGCCCATGCAGGTGGGGGCAATAATTACTCTGCCAAATACGTTCGAGATTTTGGAACTGCTCTGCTTTATCTCCTTTAATTGCCTGTACTTACAGAGGATTGAGAGATTTCTGCACGACATTGCGCATCGTTTCCGTCGCCTGCTTTCGTGAAGGCGCCTTAAATATGGAGGTGCCGGCGACAATGATATTTGCTCCCGCCGCCGCAGCCACGTCGACCGTCTTCTCACTGAGACCGCCGTCGACCTGAATGTTGAGGCGTGGAAACTCACGCCGCAATTCCGCCACCTTCGGCATCATATCGTGCATGAACGACTGCCCACCAAATCCCGGCTCTACCGTCATGACAAGCACCATGCTCACCAGCTTCTCCCGCACGAGCTCCACCACCTCCTGCGCGGGCGTCTGTGGCTTCAGCGATACACCGCACTGCATGCCGGCGGCGCGAATGTGACGCGCGAGCGACCGCGCGTCGTCCGTCGCCTCAATGTGGAACGTGAACTGCGAAGCGCCTGCCTTTGCCATCTCGTCGACCCAGCGCTCCGGATGCGTGATCATGCAGTGCACGTCCAGGAAGGTGTGAGGCAGGTGCCGCCGCAGCGCCTCCACGACGCACATGCCAACAGAGATGTTCGGCACGAAGTGGCCGTCCATCACGTCGACGTGCAGCCATTCCGCGCTGCCACCAGCGGGCGAGAGAACGTCGCGGCACTCGTCGAGAAGTCGTGCAAAGTCGGAGGCGAGAATGGACGGCGCAATGATGGGGCACAGCGCATCGGTGCGGTCAGCGCTCAGCCAAGTGTTTCTGTCCTGGTGATCAAACATCCCTCTTTCGAAAAAAGACCTTTTGCTTATATATATATATATATATGTATGTATGTATCTGGGTATGTATGAACTCGGAGTTGAAGCTGCAGAAACGTTGGTATGAAAAGAGCCTAACGTATACAACAAGCAAAGCAATGAACTGGAGAGCACAGAGAAACCAACAAACACTCCTTGCTCGTCACTATAAACCAGACACACACACACACACATATGCACAGCAATCGTCAACAATTATACACCTGCACACAAGCGGAATGGAGAAGCACCTCTCACCCCATTCCCCCGTCCTCCGATTCAGCTCAGGAGCATAACCCAGGCCTCGTCCACCAAGTGCTGCGCCTTGCACGCCTCCCACTCGTGCTGCACCCGGCCCGTTAGCTGCCCGAGTACGTCCTCCAGCGAGGCAGCAGGAATACCACCATCTGCACCACGCGCGCGCAAGTTATAACCATGGAGGCACAGCGACAACTGCACGGCTCGCGTCGGACTCATTAAATCCACTCGGAGAGCAAGAATAACTTCTTGTAGCCACCCATGAAACTGCGCAAGCACCGCAAGCAGGGCGTGCGCCCCTACCATCACCTGCGGTGCATGACACTCGTTCGCTTCACCATCAAGTCCCGAAGCGTCTTTTGGGAATCCGGAAACTGCTGCTACTGCTTCCACGGAGTCCTGCCGCAGACGCGGCCGGAACGCCTCCTTCGCCTGCTGCAGCTTGCTGTGCCACGCCTGCTGTGCATTGCTGAGGGAGCGCAGGAGCGCGTTCACGTCCTCCGTGTGCTGTGCGATTATGAGCTCCACAGTGGATTCGGGAAAAGCGTGCAGCATGCCCAGCGGGTTGCTGCAGCAGCGCAGTGCGGTGTCGGAGGGTGCGGATGGACCCACCCGTCGCACGGCCTCCTCGACGGCGATGCGCTGCGAGGTGAGGTTTCTGATGGCGTCGATGTTGGCCACGACCGCGTCGAGAAGGTTCTGGCACTCACGGAAGCGCTGCACTACCACAGCAGCCATCGCGTCTTCTGCCACGACACACAAAGATAAAGAGGGGAATTAAGCGAGAGAGAGAGAAAAACAAATAGAATGTGACATCTATATATATATATATAGAGAGAGAGATAAATAAATAAATAAATAAATATATATATATATATATATATAAAGAAATAGGAGGAAGGGCAAACTAACAAGATGACATGACACCGCGGTGTCGTGCACGCCTCTACCAAAAGCACAAGAGAGCCAAAGAAAAATATAGACAGAGAAGGGAAGAAGCGTGCGCCATCGTGCTGAGAATGGCAGCACTAACAACAAAGCAAATCACAGCTGCTATTAAGCACAGCAAAAAACCATCACCGCACCTCGCAGCTAGCGGGCGAAGCTGCAACGTGTCCAATATATATAGCGTCTCCTCTTTTATTTTTCTTTTATCTCTCTCTCAGTCTATATATAAATATATTTCTCTCCGTATTCCAGCATCAAATCGCCGTGCTCACGTGAACCTCACATAGCGGTAGTGCAAGCAATGCGATAGCTTACACCCTCACACTTTCTCCCACGCTCTGATTGCATGCTGCCAGCCCACACATACTTCCACTTTCCTCATGTATTTTTTCTTTTAACACAAAATTATCCTCAATTGTTCTCACCTTCTTCCCCCATATACGTCCTTACATGCGCAGACGCCACCGGGGACATCTTCAGCTTTATTCCAGTTTTTGTCTCCTGTCCTGCGCCCTCTGGCTACGCTCTACACAAAGGAGAACGGCTGCTCCTCTACAGCCGGCTTGAGCATCACCGCGTGTGCCACCACAATGCCCAGCGACGAGAGCACTAGCCAGAACACTACCGAGCTACCGTTTGACAGGAAGAACGATGCTACACCGAATATGAAAATGAGGAGGTACGCCTGTGAGAACGTGATCTCGCGGTTGAACAATAAGAAGTGGTTGCTGTTCGTCGCCACCGCCTCCGTGTGCTTCATCCGCACGTACCACCACATTACCATGGTGAGAAGCAAACAGATGCTGAAGGTCGGGTTTAGCAGCAATACATAGGACGAGCCCAGCAACGCAAGAATGATGTAGTTATGGTAGTAGAAGTTGATGTTTCGGTTGAGGCGGCTGAGCGACTCGCTGAGGCCTGCTGGCGCGGTGAAACTCTGCCTATCGAAGAACTCCCGCCACGGCCGCACGAGGGCCAGTTGCCGACGCGTCCCCTCCATTGCCGACGTGTAGTAGTACTGTGCCTTGCCCACAAGCGATAGGGGGACGTCAGCAGCGGCGGCGGCGGC